AAAAGAGGAAGACCCCTAACGAGATGGATCGGCCAGGTGGCATCATTGATGGACTCAAGTGTGGCAGTGGTAGTGAGGTTGACCCAGGATCGGACATTGTTTCGTTCTGCTGTGCATGGGGTCGCTATGAGTCGGTTCCGACTCGATGGCACCTGACAACAACAACAAGTCCCTGGAAAAGGACATCATGCTTTGGAAGACCCCCTAATGAAATGGAGTGACACCGTGGCTGTAACAATGGGCTCAAATTTAACAATTATGAGGATGGCACATGATCACGCAGTGTTTTGTGACTTGACGGCACCTAACAACAAGAAGTGCTATGCAGATGTGACAGGTGACAAAACATATATATACATAGTACCTGAACACAGAGAGCAGAGTTCATGGAGGAGAATACCAGTTTCTGGGATTGTGTAATGCTGTGTGGAAGCTATCAGATGGGGTTGAGGAAGGCTTCCCAAAAAAGTTGTCTGAAACCAAGTTATAAGTAGGTGTGAGCCAGGAGAGAATACAGAGTCAGAAAGCCTGGCAACCTTAGGGGCTTTGCATATAATATTGTTATTGTTGTTAAGTGCCATCGAATTGGTTCCAACCTATAGCGACCCTGTATAGGGTTTCCGAGAAGTGACTGGTGAGCTTGAACCACCGACCTTGTACTTCAAACCAACTTTGCAATCCAGCACATTAACCCACAGTGCCACACCAGGACTCCTTACATTTTGTTGTTGTTAAGTGCCATCAAGTTGATTCTGTAGTAGGTGTCTGAAAAATGAAAGCATAGCTTCAGTCCAAATCTTTGGGCAGTGCTAATAGCACCCAACTAGGAGGCAGGGGTCCATGGAATGTCCACACATACTCCTGCAACCTTACCCATATCCTGACAGTTCCTCTTTTTGCCCCCAGTTGGAAGAGTGTGCCCTACAAGTGTCTCCTTCTGGATACTACCTGGACCCCGAGTTGTCCCTGGAAGAGCAGCGGGAGATGCTGGAAGGCTTCTATGAAGAGATCAGGTCAGAATAGCAAGGCTGCCCCCACCCTTGCCCCCACCTGGGTACAAGCTCAGGTGTCCAGCCAAGAAACTCGATCTCTAGCCTGAGCCATGGGTCACCTCCTGCCGCCCCAGAGAACTGTGCCAGGGGAATTCCAAGACCTGGCCAGTACTACCTGCTGCCCAGGATGGGTGTCAGGAGTGACTCTCCCACATGCCTGAGATAGCTGTACTTGTGCAAATCCTCCTGTCTGATCAACCCTTGGACCTTTGAAAGAGCAGCTGGGAAGGAAGGAGCTGGGCCAGGGTTAGCATGGAGAGGTCTTTGGCTGCCTTGGAATGGGGGGAGGGACCCTGAGGAATGGACTGGGAGCTGCTGACAAGGCTACTTGATTCCAGCAAAGGACGGAAGCCCACGTTGATCTTGCGAACCCAGCTCTCTGTAAGGGTCAATGCCATCTTGGGTGAGTATGTATAAGGACATTGGTGTCCAGAACCCCTCCCCTACTTTCCCCCTACACAACCCAGCTGGCTCGGTTTCTTTCAGACCTGTGCTGTACAGAGCAGATAGGACAAAGTGTGTCTCATCCTCATCCTCACCCGCTCCAGGGCCAGGGTTGATGATGCAGCTAGACTGTGGTGAGGGCTGCCCAAAGTTGGGGGTGGATTTCAAGTATGAGGATGAACTAGTCTCTGGTTGGGGTTGTCATCGGGTCCCAATGGAGGAGGGTTTCTGTGCCCTCTTGGGAGTTCCATGCCCACCTACACTCTACAGAAAAGCTGTATGGCTCCAGTGGCCCTGAGCTCCGCCGCTCACTCTTCTCACTGAAGCAGATCTTCCAGGTGAGGCCCAGAGGAGGGCTGGGGATAGGCGCCCAGTCTGAGCCCCCCTAAACTTCCCCATGGTGCCCCCAGGAGGACAAGGACTTGGTGCCTGAGTTTGTGCATTCAGAGGGGCTGAGTTGCCTGATCCGTGTGGGTGCTGCGGCTGACCACAATTACCAGAGCTACATCCTTCGAGGTAAGCGCTGCCCTTCGCCCCCCCCCCTGCCCCTCCATGACCTCTGCCCCAGTGATTCCCTCACTGACCTCTTCTCCTCCCTGTGTCCCCAGCACTGGGCCAACTGATGCTTTTTGTGGATGGGATGCTAGGGGTGGTGGCGCACAGTGAAACCGTGCAGTGGTTGTACACACTATGTGCCAGTCTGGTAAGTATACCTCCCCCCATCCCACCCCAGTCACCCTTGTCCCACTGCCTTTCTCTGGGCCTCAGTTTCCTCTTCTGGATGACAGTGAATGTGAGATTCCTCTAAGCCTAGAAGACACTGAAGTGCCTGGGCCCTGAGGCAGGTTCTTTCTGCCTCACCTCTTTGTCTTTGAGTCCAGCCCCAGAAGCCCTTCCCCCTGCTCTCCAGGAGCTGACAGAGAGCTGTGAGCCCCACTCTTTTGTGGTATTCTCTTTCCCTAGTCCCGCTTGGTGGTGAAGACAGCCCTGAAGCTGCTGCTGGTGTTTGTGGAATACTCTGAGAACAATGCACCACTCTTCATCCGTGCAGTCAACTCTGTGGCCAGCACCACTGGTCAGAGACTGTCCTTCCCTCCCCCACCACTCAGAGCCCTTTCCCCTACAGATCCCGTGATGACCCCTCTCTCTGTGCCACAGGTGCGCTCCCATGGGCCAACCTGGTATCCATCCTAGAGGAGAAAAATGGCGCTGACCCTGAGCTGCTGGTGTATGCTGTCACCCTCATCAACAAGGTGTGGGCAAGGGACCCAGAATGTACCCTGGGCCCCTCGGCTCCTGACCTCTGGACCCCACCGGCCTCAGCCTTGCCTTCTCGTCCTCACCCTACAGACACTGGCCGCTCTCCCGGATCAGGATTCCTTCTACGACGTGACCGACGCACTGGAACAGCAGGGTATGGAGGCTCTGGTCCAGCGACACTTGAGCACCGCAGGCACTGACTTCGACCTTCGTACACAGCTGGTGCTTTACGAGGTGGGCCAGCAGCCAGGGTCTGACTGAGGGCAGGCGGGAGAGGAGAGGACACAGTTCCCAACGCACCCCACTCCACATACCCTCCGGCCTGTGCCGCCCCTAGAGCGCCCTGCGGTTGGAAGATGGAGACCTCGAGGAAGTCGCTGCGGGTGGACGGCGAGAGCGCCGAAAGCCGTCGTCAGAAGAGGGCAAGAGGAGTCGCAGATCTCTGGAAGGTGGAGGCAGCACTGCAGTGCGGACCCCAGAGCCTGGGTAAGAACCTGCCCACGCTGAAGGGAAGGAGTCTGGTGAGCAGGGGTGACCTGTGTCCTTCTGACTGGCACCGCCTCCAGTTCCACAGGCCCCGCCTCACCGGTAAGCCCCGCCTCCTGCCCTTTGGGCCCTGCCCAGCTGAGAGCACCTACCTCCAGCCTCGTGGACCCAGCCTCTGGCCTCCGTTCCTCTGTGACCCTCTTCCCTAGCATCTCCACGACACCTGCAACTGACAACTCCTGTGAGCGAAGTGTCTACAAGTAAGTCGGTACATGGCAGCCGCGCCGGGAGTCCTCTCTCCAGCTGTCCCTCCGCTTTGCGTCCTGCTCTGTGCCCCTCCCAGGCGCCCTTAGCCTCCTCTACGCAAACGCGTGCTTTCTCTCTTTCTTTCCAGACTTCACCAAACTGTTCCTGTTTGGTAAGTGACCGCTGGAGCTGGGGTTCAGCTCTGACTGGCTCCCTTCTCCTGTGCCTTCTCTTCATCGTCTCTTTTTGGCAGTCTATCTTTGCCTCTTGTCATCTTCTGTTTCTCTGTCACTGTCCCTCCTCCCGTCTCTTGTTCTGCTCCACTGTGGTCTCTTAACCGCACCCGACTTCCTATCAGTCTCTCTCCCACCCTCACCTCTTCCCACTGGTCAGGGAAGATCCCTCTGATATCACTGCCCAGTTCTGTGTGGGAGCAAGTAGCCTTTGGGATTGAACCGGTACCAGCAGCATCATCTTTTCCTCTCACCCCTTCCCTCCCAGGGCCCCTGAGAGCCCACCTGTCCCCCAGCCCCCTACTGGGCAGGCCAGGCTGGAGTAAGTACAGAGGCCAGCCCACCAGGCCTGCCATGTGCTCAGGGCTTCAGCATTGCTTCCCTGGCCAGGGTTCCATAGACCTGCTGCAGCCACAACTGGGGGCCTCTTAAGCTCCTCCTCTGCCAGAACTCTGTCCGCTCCGTCCTCCAAGGACTAAGCACTGGGAAGCAGTTACCGGAGTCCTAGTGATCCCTGTATTCCCATAGTGATACTTTCCTCAACAGCTTAGACCAGCAATGGGACTGTGGACTCCAAGGCACCTTCTCCCATGTGCTCAGCTCTGGAAGAGGACAGGGAATCTAGAATGCTCTGTTGTGTGGGGATGGAGGTGTAACCTCAGGATGCGAGGCAGGCAGGGACCTGGGTGAGGGTGACAGACCATAAACTGGGTGCCTGTCATGTACCAGGTCCTTTTCTGGGCATGAGCTATAGCTCTTAGAAATTTCTAGATACTAAGGAGGGACAACCTGATGTGCCCAATGAGACAGCTATCCCTTTCCCCTAAGGGTCCTTGTCTGGATTCAGGACAGTAAACATGGACAGCAGCAAAGCTGCAGATTGGCCACTAAGTAGAATTTCTCCCTGTATGTTGCCCGGGGATGCCCGGTTGGATGTTGACCCTCACCAGATGTGGAATGGGTTGGCTTTGGGGGACAGGTCCTGGGTTTGCTCAGCGCATGGACTGTTCCCTGTATGTCTGTGTGTGCCTGCATTTGAGGGCAGTGCCCAGGGGCCCAGCAAGGCATGTGCACACCTGGGCAGGGGCTGCGATTCGACATCCCCACTGATAAGTGCTTCCCTCCAGAGCCCGATTCCTGGAGAATGTAGCGGCAGCAGAAACAGAGAAGCAGGCTGCGCTGGCCCAGGGCCGTGCAGAGACACTGGCTGGTGCCATGCCTGATGAGGCCGATGGACACTCAGGTGAATAGGCTGGTGGGCAGGATCCACCCTTTGCCCTGCTGCCCCAAAGGGCACGTGATGCTGACAACTGCTTCCCTCTTTCTAGATACCCGGGAACTATGGAGCTCCCCAGAGCCTGTCCCTACCCCTAAAACACCCCAGAGCCCTGTTTCCCGACTTCTCTGGGCCCAACAGAGTGTTGAACCAGAGCCCAAGGAGCCATTGACCTCACCAATTCCTGAGGTTGCGCCCAGTCGGGAGCTCCGTACCCACACACCCAAGCTCTGCATTGGGGATCTGGACTTCTCAGATCTGGGGGAGGATGAAGACCAGGACATACTGAACTTGGAATCTGTGGAGGCCGTGAAAGGGGTCTCACCTCCGCCACCCCTGCTCTCAGGAGCACCCCCACCTCCCCCGCCCCTACCACCCCTGCTATCAGGAACACCTCCACCTCCTCCACCCCCACCTCCCCCACCAACCAAAGGCCCCTTTCCACCACCACCACCCCTGGCTTCCCTACTTTCTCCATCAGCTCCTGATGGCCCAGCTCTCCCCACTAAGAGGAAGACAGTAAAGCTCTTCTGGCGGGAGCTGAAGGCGGCTGGGGGCCCTGGAGGCTCTGGGGGCCGCTTTGGGCCCTGTCCTACTCTGTGGGCTTCACTGGAGCCTGTCTTGGTGGACACCGCTCGGCTGGAACACCTGTTCGAGTCCCGTGCCAAGGACGTGCTGCCCTCCAAGGTGAATCTACTCTCATCTGCAAGATAACCCCAGTGGAGTGGGAGGAGGACTCCGAGCTCATGTCTGCAGCTGACCACTTAGTTCCCAGATGGGGAAAGAGAGACAAAAAGAGGAACAGAAACTTCTCCAAGTTCTCTTGTATAAGTTTTTCCAATGCCTTTCACATCCCAGAGCCCTGCTTCTACGGGTATCCCACTAGTCGGTCATTTAAAGGAGGGCCCTGGAATACCCTCTTGGATTATTGCCCCAACCAGGCCCCTCTCCAATCCTATAATGCCTTTCTCCCACCCTTGCAGAAAGCTGGTGAAGGCCGCCGGACAATGACCACAGTGCTGGACCCCAAGCGCAGCAATGCCATCAACATAGGCCTGACAACTTTGCCACCTGTGCACGTCATCAAGGCTGCCCTGCTCAACTTTGACGAGTTTGCTGTCAGCAAGGATGGCATTGAGGTGGGGGTACCAGAAAGTGTCTGTGGGAAGTGGGAGGTCCTGTCTTTCCTTTGGTTAGTTGGCATTTCCTGTCCCTCAAGTTGGGTGGGGAAGGTACGTGGGCTTGTCATTTATGCAGGGCAGTCCCTAGACCCTGCAACTCCCCCAAATAGTCAAAGGTCTGAGACCTCCAGCCAGCACTGAAGGGTCTATGTGGGGTGGTGGCTCCATCTTCAGAAACTACTGACCATGATGCCCACGGAAGATGAGCGGCAAAAGATTGAGGAGGCGCAGCTGACCAACCCTGACATACCCCTGGGCCCAGCCGAGAACTTCCTGCTGACCCTCGCCTCCATCGGGGGCCTGGCCGCCCGCCTACAACTCTGGGCCTTCAAGCTAGACTATGACAGCATGGAACGGGTATCTGGGTCATGGGGTAGGGCAGTCAGAGGGGACAGGAGAGCATGGTGACCATATAATCTGAGGGCTGCTGGTCCCCCACACCAGGAAATTGCAGAGCCACTGTTTGACTTGAAAATGGGCATGGAACAGCTAGTGCAGAATGCCACCTTCCGCCGCATCCTGGCCACGCTGCTGGCGGTGGGCAACTTCCTCAATGGTTCCCAGGTGAGTGAGAGCACATGGGGGCTGGAGTCGGGGCTCTGGCTGGCCAGACCCAGACTCAGATGAGATCCTTTCAGAGCAGCGGCTTTGAGCTGAGCTACCTGGAGAAGGTGTCTGAGGTGAAGGACACAGTGCGCCGGCAGTCACTGCTACACCATCTCTGCTCCCTGGTGCTCCAGACTCAGCCCGACTCCTCCGACCTCTACTCAGAAATCCCTGCCCTGGCCCGCTGTGCCAAGGTCAGCACCAGCCAGGGGCTTAGTTCCGTCTGGTCCAGGCACAGGAAAACCCTTTCCTGGGACCAGCTGCTCCCTTTACAGTCTTAGTTGGCCTGCTGAGCCAGGGCATCCTCAGGCTATTGGTGTTTGTGTGGGCCACCTCCTCTGCCAGAAACACTCTTCTGCAGGCCTGGCCAGGCCCACTCAGTCTCTGGGTTTAGCTGCCACTTCCTCACAGAAACCTCCCGTGCTTCCCACAGAATCCAACAGATGTGTCCATCTCTTGCATTAGACCTTGGGGCCAAATCTCAGCTGTGTCCTCAGGGCTCAGGCCAGCCTGTGATAGAGGCAGCCTACTGCAGTGTCTGTGTGTTTACGGGGAGAGAGCACACAGGTGGACCCCCACCCCTGAATTTTCCAGGTGGACTTTGAGCAGCTGGCCGAGAATCTAGGACAGCTGGAGTGTCGGAGCAGGGCAGCTGAGGAGAGTCTGCGGGGCCTAGCCAAGCACGAGTTGGCCCCAGCCCTGCGTTCCCGCCTCACCCACTTTCTGACACAGTGTGCCCGCCGTGTTAACATGCTTCGGATAGTGCACCGTCGGGTCTGCAACAGGTAGGGGTATGGGCCAGGGAAAGGCAGGGCTGCCACCACCTACCTCAGACACCAAACCATGCCTTCGCCCCCCTCCCCAGGTTCCACGCCTTCCTGCTCTACCTAGGCTATGCAGCCCCAGCAGCCCGAGAGGTACGCATCATGCAGTTCTGCCACACACTGCGGGAGTTTGCACTCGAGTATCGGACTTGCCGTGAACGAGTGCTTCAGCAACAGAAGAAGCGGGCCACCTACCGTGAGCGCAACAAGACTCGGGGTCGAATGATCACTGAGGTGGGTACCCCTTCCAGGTCTCTCAACCTTCTAGCTTCCCTTCCCACCTCCCTGCTCATCCTTCTCCCCTCTCCAGACAGAGAAGTTTTCAGGTGTGGCAGCTGGGGAGACTCCCAGCATCCCAGCTATCCCAGTGGCCGTGGGTAGTGGGCCCGGACAGGGTGATGCCGACAGTCATGCTAGCATGAAGAGTGTGCTGACCAGTAGACCTGAGAACACTACACATGGCCGCCGCAGCAGAGGTGGGGCCTGTGGCCACTGGGGGGAGTGGGCTGTGGGCTACCTTGGCTTGATCTCCCTGTCCGGTCTCCCTCAGGCATGGTGCAGAGCAGCTCCCCTGGGACACCCACACCAGTGCTGCCGTCCACTGCACCCCCCGAAGAACCACTAGCCTCTGGTTCACCCAGTGACGCTTCAGATGAGATCATGGACCTACTGGTGCAGTCAGTGACCAAGAGCAGTCCCCGTGCCTTAGAGGCTAGGGAACGCAAGCGTTCCCGTGGCAATCGCAAGTCTTGTGAGTACCCACACACACACACACCTACCACCTGCCTTCACCCCACCAACCCTTTCCAACCGTGCTCTGTCCCTGCAGTGAGACGGACGCTGAAGAGCGGGCTTGGAGATGACCTGGTGCAGGCACTGGGACTGAGCAAAGGTCCCAGCCTGGAGGTGTAAAGGTGCTGCCTCCAGGAAACCCCTCAGGGCTGAGGCCTGCTGTGTCAGAGACTAAAGTGTGAGGAGGGGCCAGAGCAGAATTCTGGGCTTCCTCCCAAACCAGTGCCACTCTGTGGCCAGGAGCCAGTGCCTTGAGCAGTATTAGCCATATGTGCCTCTGTGTGTGTGTGTATGTGTGTGTGTGTGCACGCATGTGTGAGCTCCTTGATTTATGGAGCAAAATAAAGATTTCATAGTCAATCTAAGATCTTCTTCTTTCAAGGTTCCCACTAGACTGTGGTGGGAGGAAAGCAACAAAAGACTGGATCCTCCTGCCCTGCCCCTCATCACCCACAAAGTCATTGATTAGTTGGTTGGTTATGTGCCGTGGAGTTAGTTGGGACTCCTAGCGACCCTGTATGGGGTTTCCGAGGCTGTAAATCTTTATGGAAGCAGAAAGCCTCATCTTTCTCCTGCAGAATGGCTGGTAGTTTTAAAATGCTGCCCTTGAGGTTAGGAGTTCGAGTCATAACCATTACGCTACCAGAGCTCTTTACAAAGTCATTAGCCACCTCTAAGCCATTTATTCAACAATCCTGTCAGAATACCTCTGGCTCCTGGGCAGGGCCCTCATTGCTCCTGGCATGGGGGCCATGCATCCTGATAAGAGCTGCCCAAGGTCCAGCCCCCTGTGGCCACAATGCCAATGGCTATAACCGCTTCATCTGCCGCCGCTCCTGTCGGCGCTGCCGTTTCTCGTTGTGCTCTGGTGCTGGGGTTCCACTGTCTGCTGTGAACCAGGGGCCTAGCACATTCACCCACAGGAGGTAAAGGGCTCGGCCTGGAGCCTAGAGGAGAGAAGGTGATTTTAAGGTAGGCTCAGGGAATGGATGATGGAGAGGGTTGGACGTCCTCTCCCCTTCTTGACCCCCTACTCTTACCCCCCAGCTCACTCACCAGAAGCCAAAAAGACCAGATGTAGAGGGAGAAGCAGCTGAGCACTTGCACAATGGCTGTCAGTAGGATCACATCCTTAAGGTGCCTGTGGAGAGAAGGGAGGCTGCAAGGGCCAGAGAGAACAGATGGCCCCATTCAGCTCCTTTCCACTTTCTGAGCTATAAGCAACAGTGGGTCTTGGGCTATCTGGGCCCCAGAGCCCCAGCCCTGGGGCCGCTCACCTGGGCTGGTGGTGGGGGACACTCACTCTGCCATGCCCTGCTCCATGTTGAGGTCCATGCCACCATCCATTAGGGCCCCGTCCTCAGAGAAGGCTGCCCGCGCCATCGAGCTCATGGAGTGATAGCTGGCCCCATATACTGCCAGACTAAAGCCCAGAGCCATCTGCAGGGCAAGGATGGGGGTATCAAAGCCCAGCCACTGATTCTGCACCCATCCAGTTCCCATGATGAGGAGCACTTACCCAAGCCCAAAATGAAGCTGATGAGTAAAAGAAGACCAAGGTGACAAGGCAGTAAATGGCCTGCAACCAAAAAGAAGAGTCAGACTGGGTTCAGAGGTCACTCCCAAACTACTGGCCTCCCACACACATACACACATACCCCAGCAGTTGAGTTAGGTTATGGGAGGATCCAGATTGTTCCTAAAGGGTTAGGGGAAGAAGGGACCTGCTCCCTGAGACATGAGTACCCAGACTCCAGTTCGACAGCGAAATCCCTGCGTACCTGGGGTGAAAAGGGCTCTCAAATTCAGCTGGGACTCACCTCCATTTCTTTGGAGCCCTGGTTGTCACATACCTAAACAGGGCTAAAGACTATGGGGCCATGGATGAGAATGAGAGCATGGGAGCATGCACTTACATTAGCCCCCAATATGATTCTCAGGTAGAACTTCAGAGTCTCTCTGTTTTCTTCAAATATCTGTTTCTTCCCTCTCGTGCCCACTTTGCCCTTAGGCTGCAGGAATATGAGATGCTGTCAGAGCCCTCCTTGACCAGGGTCTTCCCTATTCCCTTTACCAGTCTAGCCACTTAAAGAGTTTCATCCACACCTCAGCCTGGTCCCCATGGTGCTCAAACCTAGCACAATCCCTGGGATGTCCACCCCACTTCCATTCCATTCCATCCTGCTCAATGACTAAAGCTCAATGACCCACCAGCCTCCTCCTCTTAAACAATTTAAGACCATTCTGATACTGCTTCTAGCTCCCCTGGCAAAGCCTAGGTTTGGGCTAACGCCGCCTCCAGGGGGATTACTGAGTGAGCTGAATAGGGCCCCCTCTCCAGTTTTTGCTGGTACAGGCAGGTCTGCACTGATGCCAACTCCCTTCAGACCTCCCAGATCTCTAGCCTATTCTGATACTTTCAAGATTCGGTATGGCGCCCCGCTTCGGTACCTGTCTGGTGCGATCCTACCCCGCCTCATACCCTCGGGTTTGCAATAGTACGGTCCAAAGAATGGCGTCCCCCTCAGGCCAGCCCCGCATCCCTTGATGTCTTTCCTCTGCTTTCAGTCTCCCAGCCCCGGGGGCACTTAGCTGATGCAGGCCCCACCCGATCCGCCCTCCTCACCGCCATGGTGCGACGCAAATGCCCAGCCCAGGGAACCAGGGAGAGCGATCGAAACCACACTTAGTAAGTAACACATCTGCATACAGGCACTTCCGGTGCGCACCAAAGTCGTCAGCAGAAAGGACGGAAGTGAAGTACACATCCTTCCTAAGCCCCACCCTATAACCAGTAAAACTACGTTTCCCAGACATCCTTGAGCGGGGGCGGAGGCGTCGGGGATGCGATGGCGGAGTCGCTGCCCCTGGAGGTGAGACGAGGCTGCCCTCAGGCCTGGCTCGGGACAGGCCCCGCCCTCGGGGTCCCGGACTGTGGGGAGGGGCTGTCAGCTCTCCTGGCCCCGCCCGCCTGGCGGAAACGACCCGCCTGGCGAATCCCGGGATCGGCAAACTCTGGGTAATGGTCTCGTCTTGGGGGCACTAGTCCCCGTAGCTTGGGAGACCATCCTCTTCTTCTCCATGGGTCACAGTAGATAGCTTCTCTGTCACCTCTGCGAGACCAGGCCCTCTGCTACCCTTCTTCTGTTGAGATGGCCTTTTCCTTCCCGTCATTTCTAGATATCCGCTCCATCCCATCATCCCTGAAGGGTAATGGATCATATCCTCATTGACTCCTTGGAATGGTCGGCTCCATTCCCTTCGCCTTGAGAAATGACTGTACCCACCCTCTGGCGGTGGGAGATAGACTGCCCCTTCCCTATCAACTACCAGTATGAACTCTGAGTTCCTTCAGTGAGCGCAGGCCTTTTCCTCCATGGCATGTCTGTCCAGTTAGCCTGGGCCAAATCCACTCCACCTTGATAGGTCAGAGGGGTAACAGGTTTTGTTATTAGTGTCCTCTTGGAATGACCTCTCCATCCCTTTTGCAATAGATTTAGTAGCCCTCTCCGAGATTCCTACAAAGACAAACCACCCTTTCACATCAGTCTTGGAATGAGCCCCCTGAGATGGCATCTCAGTTCCATTTGGACTTAGAGGATATCCACTGTATTCCCACAGACTCAAAAATGACCAGTCATGTCTCTGAAGATTCCTTGGGATGGATTCATGGGATGGTGGCTCCATCCTTATGTTGCATCTGATAGCCCCTTTAGAAAGTCCATCCCCTCCCTCCCAACACCATCCTACCCCACCCAATCTCAACTCAAGGTCTAGTAGTGTTCCTTCCCCTCAGTGAGGATAAGCTTACTCTTCCTTTTGCTCCTTGTGTCAGCTCTGTCTTACCTCAGGCTTCCTCCTCATTTTAGGGATGAGGGCTGGGACAGTCCCAAAACAAAACTATGGTAAATTATGACTAATAGTGGTGTAGTGGTTAAGCACTCAACTGCTAACCAAAAGGTTAAAGGTTTGAACCTACTAGCTGTTCCACAGGAGAAAGATGTGACAGTCTGCTTCTGTAAAGATTTCCAGCCATTGGAACCCTCTGAGGCAGTTCTCCTCTGTCCTGCAGGGTCACTATGATGGACAGTCAGAGTCCCCATCAGTGCTCTCCTCCCTTTGCCTAGCCTCCCTGACCCTCAAGCCTGTTCTACCCAGTCATTATCTTCTTGATAATGATCTGCTTTATCTCCGCACCCCTTCCCTGAATAAATCTTAGGTCAGAATTGAGGTAGAGGACTGAGCTAGTCCATCCTTAATTCAATCCAGTATTACCTGAGTACCTCTTGCTGTGCAGAAGCAGAGAAGAGAAGGAGAAATTAGAATGAGCTGCTGAGGTCAGGCTTCAGGAAAAGCATTCCAGAAAAGAGGCCCACATAAGCAAAAGGCAATAGACATTCTGTGTTTGTAGGACGTGCCATATTTGTCAGACATGCTTTGGGGTCAGTGGACCCAGTTGAGTGTGGATTCCTGGTTATATTGATCCAGGAGTGGAGGGTTTGTCCTGAGGGTACTGGGGAGCCCTAAGGTTTTCATAGAGGTGTTCCAGGGCTCAAAACTGTGTTCTGAAAATTAACCTTGTGACAGTTGTGTAGAATGGATTAACAAGATGACCCTGGAGGCAGGAAGTTCAGGTAGAAGACAGTGGATGGAATCTAGGTGTGAGGTGATCAAGTCTTGGGCTAAGGTGGCTAAGCAATAGTAGCCATTTATGGAACATCTTCTAGGTATCAAACACTTTATATATGTTATCTAATTGTATCCCCACAAGACTTTGCTCTAGAATTCTACTATTCCTGTTTTACAAATGTCACAACTAAGGCTCAGGTGAAGTATCCTGCCCAAGGTGACAGGACACACAGCTAGGAAGTAGTAGAGCTGAGGTTTGAAGGAGTCTAAGTTAGCTTTGGTAGCGTAGTGGTTACGAATCGGGCTACGAACCGCAAGGTCAGCAGTTCTAAACTACCAGCTGTTCCGCGGGAGAAAGATGAGGCATTCTGCTCCCGTAAAGATTTACAGCCTGGGAAACCCTGTGCAGGGTCGCTATGAGTCGGAACCGACTCCACGGCACATAAAACAACAACAACAACAAGTTAGCTTAGGGGTCCTGGTGTGGGTTAATGAGCCAGACTGCAAAGCTGTTTGAACTGCAAGGTTGGCAGTTCAAGCTCACCAGCTGCACCTCGGAAACCCTATACAGGGTCGCTCTGGGTCAGAACCTACTCGATGGCACTTAACAACAACAACAACAAGTTAGCCTAACCTAAAACCTGTGCTATACATCTATGTCTGGGAGTAAAGGACAAAAGAGCATGGAGAATCCAAACTGATTTCAGGACCTTCAGGTAGGGTACAGTGTGGGCACTGAAGGGGGAAAGTTGGGGAAAGAGACTGTTTTGGACTGAGGACAGATTATTCTTCTATATTTGGATATCTTGAGATTAAGGTGACGGCGAAGGAGCCAGTGGACAGTTAGCATTCTGTATTAGCACTGAATGGTGGGACAATGGTGGGGATTTTGAATTGTTGGTCATTTCTATAGAAGTAACTGTTGAAGCCATACAGGTAAATTTATTTAGTGAATAAAACATCAGAAGGCCCACAGAAGAATCCAGAAACAGGAATTTAGAGTGCTAGTTAGAGCACTAAAAGACAGTTTCAGGAAGGAAAGAGTCTAGAAGAAAAGAACAGTTCATATCAAATTGTTCCTGGCTTCATAGGCAACCTCATTCCCAGTGCCTAACCCCACCATCTCTAGCCTCATAGAGTGTAAGTTAGAGCCAGGGTCTGAGCCTCCCAGACTGACTCTTGCTGGCATTATATGTAGGAAGCAAGTGGCAGTTGAAAGGAAGCGAGAAAGAGCACCATCTCAGGACCTGACCTGTGTAACAGGAGGAAGTAGTTTAGCTTCCTGAGGGTCACATGAGAAGACCTTGCTGGGATATAAGAAGAATTGGAGTTCTCTTCACTTCTCTTGTTATAACTGTGAAGGCCCACCAACCTAGACTGAGAAGGGAGAAAAGTCTAAATGAACTAAATGATACTAGCTGGCTATGTGTTATATTCCAGAGGATATGCAAGGCACTTAAGTACATTTTTTTCATTCTCATAACAAGCATTTAAATCTCACCACAATTGTCACTTTGAAGATAAGGAAAAACAAAGCTCAGAGAGATCAGTTGACAGAATAAGGGTTTGAACTACATTATCTAGCCCCAATTCCCAGGCTCCTTCTACCGAATTAGGCAGAAAGTTTGATTTGTGCCAGTTGTAGAAGCCTGCACTCAGACTGGGCTCAAGAAAGATTTGTTCATAGTAAAATACCTGGGTCCTGGAGAGAAAGACAGACTCTGCTCAGCTTAGGATCCAAGATGGACTAGAAGCTAGTGCTCTTGTTCCCTTAGCCCCACTGTACTATCCGTTTTAGTAGGTTCTACGGGCCCCCAGTGGATTCCTGGTGTGGCGCCGTGGGTTAATGCGTCAGACTACAAAGCCATTTGACATGCAAGGTCAGTGGTTCAAGCTCACCAGCTGCTCCTTGGAAACACGATACAGGGTCGCTATGGGTTGGAATGGACTCGACAGCACTTAACAACCAGCACTAACAGCCCTAATGCCCTGTCTTTTCCCTCAGATTCTCACCTATATTCTGAGCTTCTTGCCTCTGTCAGATCAGAAAGAGGCCTCCCTCGTGAGTCGGGCTTGGTACTTTGCAGCCCAGAATGCTCTCCGGGAGGTAAGGTGCCCACCCTCACCTGACCTGTTCTCAGTTCTCTCTCGTTTCAGCTTTTTTCTGGCCCTGCACATTCATCACCTATCCACCTCTTGGTTATTCATTCGTTCAACCAACACTTCCTGAGTGACTCTGGGGACACTGTTGGGACTGTGTGGATAAGTGAGACATAGTCCCCCCAAGAGCTCAGAGTCCAGTAAAGCAGAAGACAGGTACATGGATGACCACAGCCATGTGCTCAGGGCTGTAGCATAGAAATGAAAGGGTGCAACAGGACCAAGAAGAGAGTCTCAAAGAACTGGCATGATCAAGGAAGGCTTCCTGGAGGAATAGGATGTAGGGGAAGATTGGGCTTCCAGGACTGTTAACAACACAGGTGAAGGAAGGCATCAAGGTGTAGAACCATTCTGGAAATGACCACACAAAAAGTTTCAAAGGATAGGAGCTTAGATGTATGAGGGAAATGTGCTAGACGATGAGACTAGAGGGCCGGCTTTAGACTACAGGCTGACAGGTTTGCCAGAAAGCAGAACTTGGGCTTTCTCCCAGTGGCCACTGTGGAACCTTGGCAGGATTGGTAGCCAGGTAGTGATACATTGGTTTGTGTTTGGAGCTCTGCAGTGCAGAATGGACTAAGCATAGGAAAACTGCAGTCACTTTTGCTAGGTTGAGAGGCAAGGAATGAGAGCTCATTGTTTTCATTTCTCTTTCTTTGATTATTGCTGAAGTTGAACAATTTTTCTCATTAGCTACCCATTTGTTTTTCCCTCTTTTGTTTATTCATGTTCTTTATCCACTATTGGGACTTTATTATTTTTCTTAACAATTTGCATGAACTTGTTACGCATTAAAGATATGAATCCTTTGCCTGTGTATTCAAATGTATCCCTAGTATGTTGGCCTTTTCACCTGATTGATAGAACTGTGTTTATTCGTGAGATACAAAAGTTAAGCATTTATATTATTGATCCCAAACATCTTTGTCTTTTTTATTTCGTCCATTGTTTTTGAAACTTAGCAGCCATTTACTTTTTCAGAGATTTGATAAATATGAACTCATATAGTTTCCTTCTGTTTCATGGTTTTAAGTTTTCTCATGAACTTTTTAGTAGTAAAAGTTCTTTTGATTTATGTTGCAAGGTAAGGAGCTAAACAATATTTTTCAAGTAGTCCAAACACCATGTAGGTGTAATGATTCCCTTACCCTCCGGTTGGAATTCCTCCTTTGTCATATAGTACGTGTGTGTAAGTAGAGCCTGCTGTTGAGTTACCCATTGGTGTTACTTATCTTACTCTTTAGAGGAAGTTGACTTTGGACATGTTAAAAATTTCAAGTGGAAGACTTGTAGATGGTGAGGTCCAGTTGGTAGTTGAATTTCGGGTCAGAAATTCAAGAGAAGGGTCTGGATACTAAACAGATTTCAGGTATCATTAAAGAATAGATAAGAAGTTGAAGCCATGAACCCGAGTAACTTCTCCCAGAGAAATCATGAAGAGGTCACAGTGGAGGATGGCAGTCTGAGGGCATGGATGGGAAGAGAACCTTCCAGAAAAGAAGAGCACAGAGGTCAAAGGCAGAGAGTGTTTAAAGGGTCAAGTGGATGAATGTGTCAAATAGCACCAACTTAAGCAAAACAGAAAACAAGTTGTTGTTGTTGTTTACCGTGGAGTCGTTCTGGCCCCGTATGGGCTTAAGTAGTGTCCTTTATATAAGATGTCCAGAAAGACCCCCAAATAGCTTCTCAACATTTGGCATTTGGAGACAAAAGCCAGGTGAGTTGAGGAGAGAATGAGAGAAGGAAGGAGGTGTAGAGAGAGTGGTCTCATTTGTGAGAAATTTCATTATGAAAGGAAGGAAATAAACAGGAAGAAATGAGAGGTTGAGGTGGACTTGCTTTTTTAATAAATTATTTTATTGTTGTTGAGAATATACACGGCAGAACTTTTCAACTGTTTCTACAGGTATAGTTCAGCGACACTGATTACCTTCTTCAACTTTGCAATCATGCACACCATCCTTTTCTGAGTTGGTCATTCTTCATTAACATAAGACAGCAGGGTTTTCATTGAGAGAAAAATCACATGTGTTTATATGGTGAGGGGAGTGAGCAACCAGAGGAAGGGTGAGTGGTGGGAGGAAAGAGGTTAGGAATGATGGATGAAAGGGCTCAAGGGACATGGCAGAGATGGGCTCCAGCATGCAAGGCTTGGTCTTAGATGGGAGGATGTTGCTGCTCTTCAGGTGGCTGGAAATGTGAAAAGGTTTAAGGAGGACATTTGTGCCTGATGGTCTCTTGCTGTGTGAGCTTGGAGGCCAACTTCATTTTCTCTCTCTCTCTCTCTCTCTCTCTCTCTCTCTCTCTCTCTCTCGAGAGAGAGAGAGAGAGAGAGAGAGAGAGAGAGAGGAGGTGGAGGCCAGGGCCTCGCACAGAGAGAGAGAGAGAGAGGAGGTGGAGGCCAGGGCCTCGCACAGAGAAGTTTGGGATGGTCACTGTTGGGCCCTGGGGGGTGTAAGGTTGAGAGAACAACAGCTCCCAAGGAATTTGTGTGAAATAGAGGGAGATAACACATGAACAAAAAGGTACGCAAGTTCTGCATTTGAAGTTTATGAGGCATCCTAGGATGGTGACTTCATGCTCCCGTGCCCTGTCTCCACTGTTCACTTAATCCCAATTTTCCTCAGTAAGAAGGTAGACAAAGGCAGCACTACACAGTCTCTGCTCCTTGGAGATTGGGGGATGGGGAAAGCCTGGTTGCCTGCTTCTGGGTTGGTCACTATGAGGCAAGAACCCAGACCAGCCCAGTTCTACCCACTCCAGCGTCTCCTGTCTGGGGTATTTGTAACGTCCCACACCTTTCACTCCTCTTTAGAGTGGGAAAGCTCCTGGCAGTCCCCTGGAGGACAGCAGGCATGCTAGCTTGGGCTTCCTATTCTGAGTAGATAAGGAGCCCTGGGGGAGAAATGGGTAAGAGCTGAGCTGCTAACTTTAAGGTTGCCCATTGGAACCTACCAGCAGCTCCATGGGAGAAAGGATCTGAAGATTTGTTCCCATAATCTCTAGGAAACCTATGAGGCAGTTCTAAATCTGTTACATGGGTCACTCTCGAGTCAGAATTGACTTGAGGACACATAGTAACTGGCCAGTCTGGGGCTGTTTTCTCTGTCAGCTGGTTTACCAAGTGTGTACACAGTACGCGGTCTCAGGCTGGAGCTTCATTGGGTATGGCCAAACCTGGCTTCTCATACTCAAGAAGTATATGTCCGTGTTAGCATGTTTGGAGCACTTTCCAAATGACTGTGCCTTTACTCCAGGATGCCGGCTAATTTTCCTCTTTGAGGACAGTGGCTGACGCTGAAGCAGGTACCTCTCTCGAAGGATAACAATCTGCTTCTGCAGCCTGAGCCCCACTGACTCAGGAGCAGGGTACCTCCCCTGGGTATTGTGTTAGAGGATGCCTGATCCCCACCAAGAAAAGAACAAAAGCAGGGAGCAAAAGAAGGCAGGGGAGAGGTGTTCTGAAATCCATCCCAATCCCCAAGAGCTGGAAGTTCTTCAGGCCAGGTCCTACTACCTCTTGCTGTACCATCTAGCCCTAGACATGGGACTGGAGGTGACTGCCATTGCCCCCCTTGTCTTGTCCACAGGGAGGCAGGGAGATGGGAGCACTGAAGCTCAGGCAGGAGGAAAGATGGAAGCTGACACCTGCAGGGGTTCTGAGGGCCTCTGTGTTGGGGAACCGGTGGGCATGTGACTGGTGAGGGTGGCAGGACCAGGCCGGCTGCCTCAGCAACCACCCCATTCCCCCACCACAGTGCACTTTCTTCATCAAGTGAAATCATGTGCCCAGCAGGCTGGGAGGCAGCTAGAGGGGTGTTTTACCTGCTCTTTCTAAAACCTTTCTTCTCAGACCTTTTCCATCTCCCTCCTCACCTCACATACTCCTCATATATGACAGATGGACCTAGACCCTTGGAAGTCCTCACTGCCCACCATCTTCCCCTCCCTGACCCACCTAGTGATCCACAGAGCATGCTCCTCACCCACAATGCCCCCTCTCTGGAATGGGGTCTAGAAAGGGAGCTCAGTGACCCCTGACATGGCCCCCACCTCTTGCCACACCTTCCTTCCCATGAGGCCAGGTGGATACTCTCCAGCAGAAGCTGAGGCTGGCTTCTCCACACCTGTGGAGAATTCCATTAATAAGCATCTTTCAGGGCCACAGATGACATATAATTTTGACCGCCCATGTTCCCTTTGATGATATTCTGTGGAATCCAAGCAGGGACCTCAGCTTGTTTTCTGCAGTTTCCCAGGGAGCTTGCTCTCCTGAATCGGGATCATTTTGATACCTTACGAGCCATCTCCCACCGGGGCATCTGCTAGAGGAAGAGAAACGGGGCGAGGACTTTGGAAACCAAGCTTTCCCTCCCCCACAGAAATTGTACCAACTTGCCTTTGGTACCAGATGTGGGGTGGGTCAGTGAAAACCTGGGGGCTCCCCAAACTCCTACACAAGCAGTTTATTCTCATAATGACTTAGCCCTGAGTTTGCCTCTTGGCTTTCACTCACTCAGAGTGTGCTCACCTTCCCTGGCATCCTGAAATTTGTTTGAGTGGCTCCTGCCCACACAAGTGGGAGGTTCCTCCTTTCTTACTGGACCGACAGAAGACTCCTCCAGAGCTATACCATGGGGGTCACAAGGACCTCTTGAACTTTAATGGGTCCAGGGCTTAAGACTAGGAGGCCCCACGAGTATTAGTACACAGGAGTGTGTACATGCTTTCACACGAAAAACTTAGGTAAACATTTACATGACTCAGACACACTAGGCCCCCAGAGGACCTAGACCTTACTGCCTGCCCCTTAGGGCACAGGGGGTTATAGGAAGTGATTCCAGTCTCAAGGATCTTGGGGCCTCTTTCTGAAAGGTTTAAACATTGGGGTCCAACTTACTTTGCTTTGTTGGGGGTCTTGTTGGGCTTTTCCAGATCATATCCCCCAACCCTGTGCTTGGATCAATTCCCGACATTGTTCCTGCCCCTCCCTAGGCATCCAATCTTATCCTCCCCCAACACTTGACTTCTTCCCAACTCCCACTTTGCACCCATACTCCCCCTCACGCCGTGGTGGGCCCCTGTTGTCAAGGAGTCCTTCCCTGTCCAGCCCCCAATCTCTGGCATGCCACTCTTAGCACCAGACCCCTGGCCCAGTTCCCTTTGAAGTTGGGGCTAACCCCAAGTCTGCTGCTGCTCCATAGACCAACGTGCGATACAACATCCCCGTGTCCTCCACCTCCCTCCCGGCCATCAGGAGCCTGGGCATCCGGGGCATCTCATCCATCAGTCTGACCAACCTGGATGGCTCGCCAGCTTCCCACCAGGTACTACAGTCTGTTGCCAACCACTTGGGCCCACACCTGCAAAGCTTGTGCCTGGGTGGGGGCAGCCCCACAGAGGCCTCCTTCGTGGCTCTGATCCTGAGATGCCCTACCCTGCGTACGCTGGACCTCAGTGGCTGCAATAGCCTCTTCACCTCAGGCACACTGCTGGCTCAGCCCGAGATGGCACAGCGGGTCCGGGAGGCTCTGCATGGCCTCCGGGAGCTCAACCTGGCTGGCCTGCGGGATCTGTCTGACCCCAGCTTCAACCGGCTCAGCAGCTGTGCCCCCAGCCTGGAGTGCCTCTCCTTGGCTTACTGCCACCTCACTTTCGAGCTGGGCTCTGCCCGAGGCTCCATGGGCCCCCAGGACTCCTATCCTTCACGCCTCTCCTTCAGTAACTTGCTGCGATTTGTGAAGGAGCGGGCTGACAAGCTGCGTGCCTTGGACCTCAGCGGCACGGGCCTGCTCCCCGAGGCCCTGCAGGCCCTGGGCCAGGTAGCTGGGTTGCAGCTGCAGGAACTGAGCCTGCACAGCTGCAGGGACCTGTCCACAGAAGCTGTGGCTACCCTCTGCCGCCAGCAACCAGGCCTTACTTCCCTGGACCTCAGTGGCTGCTCAGAACTGGCCGATGGGGCACTCCTGGCTGTGAGCCGGGGCCTGCGGCACCTGCAGAACCTGAGCCTGAGAAGGTTGCAGCGGCTGACAGACACCGGTTGCAAGGCCCTGGGGGGCCTGCGGGAATTGCGGAGCCTTGACCTGGCCGAGTGCTGCCTGGTGAGTGGGCGCGAATTGGCCCAGGCCTTGGGCTCCACATGCAGAGCCTCACCCCCACTGGCCTCCCTCAGCCTGGCCTACTGCTCCTTGCTCAAGGTGAGCATGCCACCCCTTGCCTTCCTCCACAGGGATTCGGGCCTTGCTATGTGGTGGTGGGGAGGAGTTACTGTGTTGGCGTCCAAGGAATAGTAGGGAGAATGGGATTTGGGACACCATCTGAAGGGGGAAGAGGGCCTGGACAGTGCTGCTGCCAGCTCTCTTTCCCCCTAGTCCCCACTGGGGCCCAAGTAAAGGGAGAGCCAAGAGACCTGGGTGACACAGACATGAGGTGGCACGGGCCTCTCAAACCAGGTGCTCAGCTCCCTGAGAGCCAGTGTTGTGGAGATAGGCAAGGCTGGTGAGAGCAATGATGGAACCAAGTCCTGGGAAAGGAGCTCCAAGGTTCTGCAGAAGAGGGTGCAGCTGGCGGGCCTGAGGGTGGTCATATGTGGGAACAGCAAGGTCATTTCCCTTCAACAATTCAGCCTGTCCCTCTGAGTCGCTTCCCAGTCTTGGCAATGTCCATTTTTCTCTCTTTAGTGGAGTGTCCCTTCAATGGGGGACCTGGGCTCTCCCAACCTAAAAAAATCTTTCAATCTTGATTCCTACAATGGCCTCTCCATCTGACCCTCTACCTTCCCTTACCCACCAACTTCTCCTCTCATCAGCTGCTCTGGGGCCTGGCTGCATCAACCCATCACCTTGAACCAGTTCTCCAGGGAGCTTATCTAATGGCTCAGATTTCTAGCCCTGGTCCAATCAGCTATGTTAGAGGGTTGCCAAAGCTGACCCCTTCGGAGGGACTGAGAGTATGGCAGGGCAGGACCTAGAGACTTCCACCTGCATTCTTCCTGCTCTGGCCATGGCCTTTGTCCTCCAGCATCCTCCTTCCGGCCTCCTACCCCCAGGGCTTTCCTTGTCCACTCCCTCGTGGGCTCCATTGGTAGTGTCCTGTTGCCTGCAGGTGCAGAGCCACCTCTCCATTGCTCACTCTTGCATTTCCCTCCTAGGATGCCTCGGTGCTCTCCCTAATTGCAGAGCTAGGCCCCAGCCTCAGAGTGCTAGACTTGTCCTCCTGTGTGGCCCTCAGCAGCCGGAGTGTGCAGGCCATCTGCACCTACCTCACGCACCTCTCCATCCTGCGCCTGGCATGGTGTAAGGAGCTCCGTGACTGGGGGCTCCTAGGGCTGGGGGAGCCAAAGGAGGGGCCTACACAAGAGCTCCAGGTATGTGACTCTAGAGTTCATGAGAGTGGTGGTCCTGGGCTCAGCTAAGTCACTCCCCAGAAGCACTTGGGAGCCTGAGAAGCAGGGGTGCCTTCTTCCCACAGCCATGCCCCGAGCAGCAGCAGGCTGCGGGCCCCTCCCTGCTCGTGCTGCGGGCTCTGCAGGAACTGGATCTCACAGCCTGCTGTCAGCTGACTGATGCCAGCCTGGCCAAGGTGTGTGGCTGAGCTGTGGATAGGCTGAGGACACTGGGGCTGGAGCTAGGGACCTGGACCTAGGGACCTGGACCCACTCAGTTTTTCTTGGAAAAATGGTGGGGGGGGTTCCTTTTTTGTTGGCCTGCTGCCCATGGCCACTGCTCTGGCTGGGGATAAGGGGGTTAGTCCTGGACTCAGTGCCATGCTGCAACTGCCTTGCACCCCCATCCTTGCAGGTGCTCCAGTTCCCCCAGCTCAGGAGGTTGTCACTGAGCCTGTTGCCAGCCTTCACAGACATGGGCCTGGTGGCTGTGGCCAGGGGCTGCCCCAGCCTTGAGCACTTGGCATTGAGTCACTGCAGCCTCCTCAGTGATGAGGGCTGGGCCCAGGCTGCCAGCTTCTGGCCAAGGCTGCGGCACCTCACGTTGTCTAGCTGCAGTCAGCTCACAGAGCAGTGAGTGGCCGTGCACAGATGCTGAGCAAAGGGAGCCCCAGGGTAGGGCTGGGCCAGACCCACTCTGGCCAGGCACTTAGCCAGTGGCCTCCCTGCAGAACCCTGGACACCATCGGGCAGGCGTGCAAGCAACTCCAGGTGTTGGATGTGGCCATGTGTCCAGGCATTAGCATGGCTGCTGTCAGGCGCCTCCAAGCCCAGCTGCCGCAGGTGACCTGTGTCCAGTCCCGCTTTGTGGGGGGCGCTGATTTGACCTTAACACTCTGAGGCCAGGTTAGTCAGTGGCCAGCCCCGAAGCTTTGACCACTCAAACCCCAAGGTCCCTCTTGATCTGGAGTCTGACTCAGTGCCCCTTCTTCCCTCTGCTGTTTACCCTTAGAGCCCCTTTCCCAAGCTACAAACCCCTTTTCTAAAATTGGGGGTCAGAGCCATCCAGGGCACTTTCTACCCAGTCTGCCCCAAAGCCCGGAGTAGCGTCCTTCCAACTATATGCTGCTGCCAGGGAAATAACAGCTCCCTGGCCAGGCCCTGGTGACCAGGCTAGGCCCCGATGACCAGGCTAGGCCCCAGGTGGGTTGGATCTGGTGTTGGGGAGGAGCAGATTATACCTCCTGCCCTGCTCACTCCTCAGACCTGGGGCTGTGCCTCACCTTGTTCCCAAAAGCATGCTTTCAGCCCCTATAAGCACTGAGTTTTAGCAGCCAAGCCAGTCTTTGTTGTAAACTTAAACACGATTAAAAATCTTTAATATCTTCCCTCCTTGTCTGAAGTTCTCAGACTGCAGGCTCCTCCATAACTTCAGCTGAGGAGGCCTAGCCCAGAACAATGTGGGAAAATCCCAGAGACACCATCATCCTCCCACCTGGGCCAGCGCCCAACAGGCACCCCATGCTGTTCAAGGCTGGGCCACTTTGAGTTGACTCTCAACCAGGCCTAGCTTCTTTCTGGTGCCCTTCAAATGACCAGCCCCCCCCCCAATCAACTATTGCTCCCAGGTTGTACCCCAACCTGTGGCCCTGGCCTGATGCTCCACCTCACTCATCAGCTAAGCAAGAAAGCAGGAAGGGAGACTAGCTGTCACTGAAGCAGGCTTGACGTACATAGCCAAGCCGACTTTATTTCTGCTGCCATCTTGGCTGACCAGGATTGCCTGTGCTTCCCCACTTCCCACCTCTCAGCCCCGTCAAGGTTCAGCAATGCTGCAGTCGTAGCAGAAGTTGAAGTTGGTGGGGGGCGGGGGCACAGGGGGCGGCTGCTCAGGGATCGGCACGTTCTCCAGCTCCAGCAACCGCAACTTGGTCTCCATAGTTAGCAGTAGCTCAAGGTCCACCCGCGTCTGCTCACTGCCCATAGGGTTACCCAACAGGGCACTCAGCCCATCTACCCACAGGTGGAACTGGAAATGGGGTCAGTTCTGAGGACCTGTCCATCTGCCCCCAACTCCCACCCAACTCAGTTCAGCCTGGCCCAGTACTCACCTCCTTCTTGGAGGGGGCGATGAAGTTGAGGTGCACCTCCTGCTCCCCATGGTCATAGCTGACTGAGAAAGCTAACTCACAGAGGTCCTGGGAAAATAGGTGGCAGAGGCACTAAGCAGGCAGCAGGTGGGGCAGGGTCAAAGGGACTGGGCTCCCACCACACTCACTTTGTTCTGCTTCCCGGAGCCCTTCTCCCGGATGTGGGGGCAGTCCCTGCCTGTCATGAGAGCCCGGATGTCGGCCACAGGAACTGCAGGAAGAGGGCTTGTTGACCGCTAGGGCCCAGGTGGCAGGGGCAACTGAGGAGACAGGTGTCTGTCCTCTGCCCTCCCCTTGCTCTTACGCTGCTCAGGCAGGCTCTCAGGGGGCAGTGGGCTCGCACCCTCCTCCACATCACCATACTGTAGCACCTTGTGGTTGGGGGACAAGCAGCAGAACCACAGCTTATCTGAGGGGAGGAAAGGCGAGTCCAGTGAGGAAGGAACTCTGGCTCCCACTTGCCTACCCACCCCTGACCACTGAGTGACCTTGGCGCCTCCGGCTGCTGATCTTGCGGAAGAGTGTCCCCTCACAGAGGTGGAGCAGACGCTGTCTACGGATCAGGTCCAAGAGCTCCGGCTTCAGTTTCTCCCGCAGCTCCCTGGATGGGGGGAGGAGGCTGCACTTGCCAGGACTGACCAACATCAGGACCCATGGAGCACCAGAGAAGGTGGGGGCCAGGATGGGGATGCAGCCCCACCAACTCACAGTATAGGAGGGGCCAGTGTGCCTTCCTGGTGCAGCCGCTCTGTCTGCCGCAGACGAAGCACCTCTCCATAGGTGAGCGCGTTCACCTTAGTTCGGAAGAGCTCCAGGGAGGTGGGCTTCAAGGCCAGCGTGCGGGCCAGCTGCTCCCGCACCACCTGCATGACCTGGGACCACCCCAAGCACCCCCCTGTTCAGCACCTATGCTCTGGACCCCACCCCCTGTCCCAGGTTCCCATCCAGTCCCACCTTATCAAAGTCCTCCTGTGTGGCCCGCATCTCCTTCCAGGTCTTGTTCAACAGCTGGATGCCCACGCAGAAGAGCTCATGGAAGCTCTGGTCTTGGCCAAAGAACATGGGTGAAAAGTCCTGGGCCGTCTCGGAGCCTGGAGCGGGGGGGCAGGAGGGGCTCAGGGAAGGAGTGTGTGCAGCCCCTGGCCCTCTCTGCCCTTCCGTCCCTGTCCCCAGATCCACCGTGCCCAGCCCTACTCACAGGGTTCCCCGACATGGAGCAGTTCACACAGCAGAACCGTCAGCTGGATGCTGCTACGGGCAAAGGGACACTCGTGCTTGTCCTCACGGCTGCTGTTCTCCAACACAAACTGGGGTGGGATGGGGGCAGGGAGTCAGGGCTAGGCCATGGGGGAACCCTTCCCTCCCCATCCAGTCTATCACTGACCCGGCTATAAGCACTGGGTGCATGGCTGGAGAAGTACAGCATGTTGTCCAGGGCCAGCAGGCCGGGGGGCACGCGCTCCAGGTCCTGGGCTGGGTTGCTGTTCTGAGGAACAACACTGGCAGTTCAGGAAGGGCCCCAGTCCTCAGAAACATTAGCTCTGGGTAGAGGCATGGGGGCATGTGGGGCAGGACTGGCTCACCGAGAAGCCCAGTTTGCGGAACTCGCGGGCACAGAGGGAACGGCGGCGGTCAGCACTCAGCCCAGCCCCCAGGGACTCCCCGTCTGACTCAAAAGCCGCCTGGCGCAGGACCTGCAGCTGTTCCCGCTGCTCCTGAGGACAGTGGTGGGGAGGGGTTTCAAGATCATGGATTCAAGGTCAAGCTCCAAACTGCCCCCAGTTTCTTGCCCCTAAGATCTAAACCTGGCTGTAGGGGTCCAGTGGTGTCCGCATGCGTGGCTCCAGCAGTCCCAGAGTGAGAGCTTGCAGGACATACAAGTGATGAGCCATTTCGTCACCCAGTGGGGTCACACTGTGAATGATATTCTGAGGGAGAGCAGTGCATGGGTGTGAGCGTGTGCAGGGGACTGGGAAAAGAGGTGGGAAGGGGTCACCTGGACCGGTCTTACCTTATAGATGAACTGGCGAAAGTTTCTCTGCCACAAGTAGTCAAGCATTTGCTGAGGTGGGTGAGAAGGGGACTCAGATGGTTTAGCCCCAGCATCAGCACCCAGCCTTTAGTTTGGGGTGAGCACAGAGTCCACCAGCTCCTGCCCACCCTATGCAGCCACCAGGCAGATACCCACCTTCCTCTCAGTAGGATTGGCCCCTTGCAACAGGGCTGTCAGCAGTGCCATGGCCTTGGTTTGCAGCTGCTGGTTCATCCTGCAGCAAGAAGACAACTCAGCAGCCATTTGAGGTCTGGAGCAGCTCTCCCCACTCACACCCCACCTCTCAATGCTTACACCTGAAGGTGCACCAGCAGCCTGTCCAATGGCACCTCGCTTTTCACCAGCTGGCCCAGGACAGAGCTGCTCAAGGTCACACTCTCCAGCAGCCCGAGGGCCAGGGGCTGTACAGAGGCATCCATCAAGTTCATGTTCACGTAAGCCACCACCTACAAGGGGAGCAGGGGGGGGTCTCACCACAAGTGCCCAAGAAAGGCCAGATCCTGTCCACTGCCCTCACCCTTTGTCCCAGAAAAGCCCACCCACCTTCTTGACAAAAGGGATGCTGAGCGTCTCCCAGGACACCACGCCGTGCTCCATGAGCTCCAAGAAGGCCTGCAGCCCGAGGGCCAACACCTCCCCTAGGCTGGGTGGGGACATCTGGAGCTGAGCAGGACCAGAGCAGGATCCAGTGCCCCACCATGTCCCCCAGCCCACCAAAGCCCTGTGCTCACTCGTCCCCAGCTTCAATGATGGTGCCTAGCCTCTGAAGCCCATCACGACTAATAACCTCTCTGGCAAAGGTCAGGTCTGGGGCCAGTAGAACAAGGTGCTGCAGGGCCTCCCGGCGCCCTTCACGACTCCCGCTCTGCAGCCCACCCAATAGCCGCTCCGCCTCCAGGTCCTGGCAGGGACAAGCACAGAGAGGAAGAGGCTGGGTGGAGGGAGAGAAGTGGGCACTGCTAGATTGGGCAGAAAGGAGGGAGAGCCCAGGGGCAGGGAGTGGGAGGGTGGAGGCAGGAGGGACTTTACTGGGGCGGTGCTCAGGCACAGGATGCTGCCATTCTTGATCTCCATGCGGTTCTGAAGAAGACACAGTGGGACAGGAAGTCAGGAGAGGTCTGATGGATGGTCAAGTGGCATATTGGGAGACTCTAGTTAGGCACAATGGTTAAGCACTCAGCTGCTAAGTCAAAGGTTAGCAGTTCAAACCCACTAGCTGCTCCAAGGGAGAAAAGACCCAGCGATCTGCTCGTTAATATTACCCATACCCACTGCCATCAGTCAATTCCAATTCATAGCAACCCTCAGGACGGCAATCTTTACCGAAACAGACAACCTAATCTTACTCCCAGGAGCCACTTGTAGGTTAGCGGCTGTGCATTTAATCACTGAAACTAGAGCTCCCTCCCTTACAGCCATGGAAACTGATTTGCAAGTTCTACTCTGTCCAAGTTGTACACCTAAGCCCTGGTGTGGCACTGTGGGTTAATGTGCTGGACTGCAAGTTTGTTGTGAATCTCAAGGTCGGCGGTTCAAGCTCACCAGCCGCTCCTTGGCAACCCTATACAGGGTCCTTATGAGTTGGAATTGACTTGACGGCACTTAACAACAACTCTTGTCTTATTGGCTCCTGGTGTAGTGCTATAGGATAAGCACTGAACTGCAACCCATGAGGTTGGTAGTTCAAATCTTACAACTGCTTCTTGGAAACCCTATTCAAGGTCGCTATGAATTAGAACCGACTGAACGGCACTTAACAAATAACTCTGTCCCATAGGGTCACTGTGCGCGAGCACTGACCATGTTGTTAGGTGCCATCGAATCATAGCAACCTTATACACAGTAGAACGAAACACTGCTTGAAACTGGGCCAACCTCACTATTGTTGCCACACTTAAGCCCATTGATGCTGCCACTTGGCCAGGTATACAACAAAACAATATCTCATTTCAGGTAATGGGATGATGATTCAGAGGTATCAGGGTCAGTGGGGTGAGAAGGGAGGTCCTTAGATAGTTGGGTTCTGTAGTATATGGGAATAGCGGAAGGGAACTTACGTTCTCTGTGATGTATCTTCTGTGCCCATCAGCAAACTGCAGGGCATAGCGCTCGGAGTGAGTGAGGCTCCACCTGCCGAAGGCACAAGGCTCAGTGACGCCGCTAGGGGGCGCCTCCTCCCCTCCCCTTCCCTGCACCCTGTGACCCAGCAGCCCATACTCACTCGTCGCATACCTCCTTCAGCACAGTGGCCAGCGGCTTTGCCTGCAAAATGGAGGGACAGGTCATTCACGGGCTGGGAGTGGGGAAGTGTGTGGGAGGACTCTAGGCAAGGGGTACAGCGGGCTGTTCCGACGGGAAGGAAATATAGACCCCGGTGAAGGGGGCAACCCAGAACAGTGGGACAGATGGCGACGGAACAGGCTGGGAGACCTGGTCCAGCTGGATGAGTTGAGGGATGGCGTGAGGCATCTGGATGGCGATCTTCACCACATTCCTCGGGGGCGCCATGGTCCAGCCCGGCCGTGGGGTGTGCGCCTGCACTTCCCCCAGACGGCGCTACCTCCAGCCCAGGGCACACCTGGTCTAGGGCTCCTGGGGACGACAGCGTCACCCCGCACCCGCACTCACGGCCCAGGCTCCCACTCCTAGCTAGGCGACGCGGCCTTCCCAAGGGAGTGGAGCCTAGTTCCGGGTTGAAGTCCCGGGAGTAGAGGGTAGACTGGCGCCTGCCCCGCCCCGCTGAGGCAACCCCGCCCCGCCCCAAGGTGCGGCAGGTGGGGGCGGGGAAGAGCTGGTGGGGGTGGGGAGGTCAGGCCGCCACACCTCCCTTTCCTGCAAGGTGACCCACCCAATTCACTGCCACACACACAAAACCAGATCACAGATCACCTTAGGCATGGTGTTTATTAACTTGGACACTGTACAAATATTACAATTTCCTTTTGCTGCAAAAAGTATAAAAATAATCTTTATATAGGAATTCATTCATTACTGTAAATCTTTCTAAATCTCTGCAGATGGCTCTAACTGAGGGGAAATGAACAAACAAGGGACTATCCTCAGGGACCAACCCATTCAAACGACTATCTGGAGACCTGTTCCTCTGGTCAGCACCCTACCACCACCACCTTCAGGTTCTCAGAGCTAGGGCAGAGCAGAAGGGGTGCCCACGAGGTCAGCAGGAGCTGTAGGGTCAGAGGTGGGCAGCAGCGAGGGCTAGCGGGTGGTACTGGTAAGCCCCCATCTCCACCCAACCCTTCCCTCCTTGTGTGTGTGGGTGGGGGTGGGGGGAGGCTTGCAGGAGTAGTGCAGTGGGGCTGGACAAGTTGCCCTATAGGTGCCACTGGGTGGCAGTAGAGCTGGGGCCTACAGAGTGCAGGTGGGAGAAGGCCCCAGGAAAAGAGGCCAGCCTGGTGCGGGGGCAGGAGGCAGGGCTGGTCCTGGCTGTGCAGCAAGACAGGGAAGCCAGGAGTCAGGGTAGGAGTGAGGTGGGGTGGGGAAAGGCCCTCCAGGTCAGTCTGTATCCCAGCCACACAGGACAAGTCTCTGCCAGTCAGAGGTTGAGAACAGGCACATCAAAGAGGTCACAGACGCCTTCACTGTCGTCCAGGTTGTAGATGTAGTCATGGTCTCCAGGGGGTGGAGAGAGACGCAGGAGTGGGGCAAACACTGCAGAGAGCACTTGGCTGAGGCCCTGAGTCAAGGTCCTACCCAACTCTTATCCACCCCCAACTGCCCACCATCCTAGAGCACTCACCTTCTGAGGACATCAGCTCCTCTAGCAGCTCGGAACTCATGCACTCTGGGAAGGAGGGGAGCTCAGTTACTTCTGGATGTCACCTCTCCACCCACCAGTGTAGAGGGGACCCTTCCCCACCTGCCAATGGCTTGTCCCTTTGCCCCAGGTACTAAGTACAGCCATAAGGTCTTCAGAAGGACAAGCAGACAGCAGTGGGACCCAATGAGCTGTGCCCCTCAGCCCCAAGAAGGAATACAGCCCTACCTCGTGTGGGATCAAAGATTTCCGACAGCTCTTTGGGGAGTTCCAGAACTGAAAGACAAGGAGGGCATGCTCAAGGGCACAGAGGCCCAGTCAAGTTCCACTTCTGCCCCTGCTTTCCTTGGATCTTATACCATCCACCCTGCCCTGGGCCAAGCCGGCATTCTGAGTTGGTCTCTCGCCTGCTAGATCCAGATTCCTCAATGCTGAACTCAGGGAACCAAAGGCCTGCCGTAGGCGCCTGGCACAGTCATCCTAACTTAGTAGCACTGCATAAGGGAGCAGGCCTACCCATTCCTTTCTGGGTGGATCCCATGCACACCCTGACTGAGAAGGATGCTTTACCCACCATCTGAGCCCATCCCTCAGGTTGTGTCACCTGCTACAGTGTCACCACTGTACCAGAATGGTCTGATAGAGGGAGGAGGCAAACAGGAAGCAAAGGAAGAAGCAGCTGTGAGTGCTGGGGCTGGACCGTAAGGGGCTTCATTATGCCAGGTTTAGGAGCTGATTTTATCCAGCAGGCCTCAGGGAGGGGCTAAAGGAACATTTTAAAACAGGGGACTGCCGTGGTCAGCTTTGCATTTTACAAAGTTCTCTGTGTCAGTGGTGGTCAAGAAGCAGCTGCTACAGTATCTGGGCTAGGAATGCCCAGGACCAATTGTGGGGCATAGGATTCAGGTGGGATGGGAAGAAGGGTCTACAAAGAACTTACTCAAATGAGGTGGGGTCAGAACAGAGGCAGGAGGAAGGAGATGGAATTGGAGTGACACTTAGGTGTCAGGCCTGAACGATGAGGGCCAACAACAACAGGAAAGCAGTTTTTGAGAAAAAGAGCAGCTCAGTTGAGGACATATGGGAACAGGGTAGTGGGAAAGGCAGGCAAATGAGAAAGAGGTGGGAGGGTTCCGCCCGGTTTTTAAGGAAGAACCAGAGAGAGGTTGAGAAGGAGAAGCCAGAGAGCGCGAAAGGCCAAGAGCAAGAATCGTTAAAAGCCACAGAAAGGAAAAGCTGTCAACACCACTCAGCAAGGGGGCACCAGAGCAGACCCCTGAATAGCCAGCCTCATCCTCAAGGGCAGAGCTGGTGCAACACGGGGAGGTGGGGAGACCTTGACCCAATCTGAAGGGTGACTTGGTGACAATGACATGAGTGAAATGAAGTGGAGCTTCCTTTTTCAAGTCCAGCTAGCAAAGACATGGGGAAATGGGAGCGGACACAGAAGAGAGTCAGGTCATTTAGTGAGAAGGTATCGCAATGTTGTGGACTAAGGAGGACGTAGAAGGGAGAGGACACTGGGTAGACGACATTATTCTCCTCGGAAGACCAACGTTGGTGCCTGGGTGGCACACTTCAGCTCCTTCCCCAGGAGAGACTCATGCTTTCCTAAGGCCTGAGTCCAAGGAGTAGTGGCAGGCAGAGCTTGAGAGAGGGCCAGGGAGCCCCGCGCTAGCCCAGGAAAGGGACAAAGGGGCACCAACGCTCACCCTGGCTGGCAGAGGGCTCTGGTGTCAAAGGCCAAGGTTAGTGGGAGGAAGCTGAGGCCTTGAGCTGGCAAGCTCTGACTGCAGAAACAAGAGGGCTAGGTTCCATCCCCAACTCTGTCACAAAGGCCTGAGCTGAGGCTGGGACCTCCTGGGCTCACTGGGCAGGTACTTACCACCTGTGGAGTCCGCTTTGACAGGCTCAAAGGAGGTAGCAGGGCTGGGTCCGGATGAGCTGTTGCTGCTGTCCAGCAAGGCAGAAGACTGCAGTGGCCGGGTGTCCAGGGCTGTTGCACCCAGTGGAAGTGAGCTGAGCTCACCACTGTCCTTGCAATCCGTTCCTGGACCGCAACTCACTGCAACCACATCCCACCACTCAGTCACCTGGAGTGCCAGAAGTCACGCTAGAACCCTGACCAGAATGACCTGGTTCCCGGGCCCAAGGAAAATTAAGCACTGCCAAGCTTCCTAAAAGGGTGACCAGGCCTTGAGTTCCTAGAGTCAAGAGGAGACTCATGGACAACATAGAAGCCATGACCTCACTTCCAGAGGTGTGCCAGGGCAGTTGGGCACAGGCGTATCTGGGTAAGTTGCCAGCACAAATGTCCCTTCCAACTCAGCTTGACTGGTGACTGCTATAGCAAGGGAAATGGAGGGGAGATGGGGGCCAAGAAAAGGACAAGCCCCACAGACTTTCATCCAACTCTGAGTACAACACTGCAAAACTGAGAATCCACCCCTTGGGCCCCAGGAGGTAACATCACCAGCCACCCCATGTGCCTCACCTGTGCTCTCAACTGCTGTGTGGGCCACCCCCTGAGCCTCAATGCCGCTGGAGACAGGTGTAGGGGTGCTGGGACGGGAGGTTTCCTGAGGCTGGGCCAGGGCAGGTTTGGCCAGCAGTGGGGGGGTAGAAGTGGCAGGAGGGCCCTGGAGCAGATCTTCAGGTGGTGGCACAGGCACAGCCACAGGTGGTGAGCTCCATGCCTCCTTGTTCACCAGCAGCACCTCAATGGGACCACTCACACTCTTCAGGTGAATCTGGTATTTCTTCTGCCCATTGAGGCCCTGGAGGTGGGGGTGGGGGATGGGGAGAGTTGGGTGCAGGCATGGCCAGGGTGCAGTATCCTCTCCCAGCCCAGGCTGCCCATCCTCCTAGATAACCCCAATCCCTGGGCCTCCCCCCCTACCTGCCCCACCCAGGACTTATCGGGTCCCACAGCCAGCACCCGCCCTCCACCAACCCTGCCTGCTTGGGCTGAGCACCCACCTCTGGGATGGGCACCTCCAAGCTGGTGCCCGATGGAGCCCGGATGGCCAGGAGGGTATCACCTAGAATGACAGAAGGGCTGGTCAAGCCCAGGGGCTCAGTCTGAGCTGGAATGAGGGTGCCTCCCCTTTGGAACACAGTAGAGCATGGTCTCTGAGGGGCTAGGCAGTAGGTCTCACCCACCCCCTGTAGTGGCTAGGCACAAAACTAAAAGTCTTCTCTCCCTGAGAGCCCAGGGGTCAGTCATCAGCAAAACTGTTCAAACACATGGAGCAAAAGATCACAGGTCAGGGGTGCCTCAATGATCAATTGACAGGGCTGCCTCCTAGGTATAAGCGTTCTGATTGAGGCCAAGGTCTCTTCCCCAGGACCAGTCTGGGGGATACAAAATGGAAAAGGACCAGCTCCTGTATACACACTGCAACTAAAAACTTCAGGTTGGAAGTAGATGCCACTGTTCCTTGCATATAAGCACATCTATATACTGATATGGCGCTGTGGGTTAATGCACCAGACTGCAAAGCTGTTTGAGCTGCAAGTTTGGCGGTTCAAGGTCACCAGCATCTTCTTGGAAAACCTATACAGGGTCGCTATGGGTCAGAAATGACTTGATGGCACTTAAGGACAACAACAACAATACACACAAATGGAGTCCTGGTGTGGCGCTGAGGGTTACTGCGCCAGACTGCAAAGCCATTTGAACTGCAAGGTCAGCAGTTCAAGCTCATCAGTCACTCCTCAGAAACCCCATACAGGGACGCCATGGGTCAGAACTGACTTAACGGCACTGAACAACAACATACACACAAACAAAGGAGCCCTGCTATTGCAGCGGATTACAAGTTGGACTGCTAACTGCTAGGTCAGTAGTTCAAATCCACCAGTCACTCCATGGGAGAAAGGGGAAGTTTTCTACTCCCATGAAAATTACAGCCTAAGAAACCCTATACAGGGTCACTATAAGTGGGAACCGAGTCAACAGCACACAGCAGCAAACACACACACACACACACACACACACACACACACACACACACACACACAAAGCCCTAGGGGCATAATGGGTTACAGGTTAGACTGCTAACCGCTAAGTCAGCAGTTCAAATCCAGGAGTCACCCCTTTAGGAGAAAAAGAGGTTTTCTGCCCCCATAAAGTTTAACATCCTTGGAGCCCTGGTATGGCGCCATACATAGGATAAGCACTTGACTTCAAGGTCGGCGGTTCAAACTCACCAGTCATTCCTCAGAAACCCTATACAGGGTCATTGTGAGTCGGAACTGACTCAATGGCACTTAAAAAAACCCTATGCAGGGTCGCCAAGTCCAAACTGACTCGACAGCACACAACTACACATAAACACACCAATATTCTCTTTCCCTCCCTCCCCCAACAGTGTTTGAGAAGCCAAGCCCAAGGAATAGTACAGATGGGGGCAGCTCCAGGGTCCCAGCACAGGATCCTGTGCCCACTTAGTATAGCCTCCACAGGGTCCCAGTGGACCCCTGATTCCAGGACTTACCCACACCTGGTTCCTCTCTGTGCAGGCCCCAGGAACCCTCCTAAGAGATGGAACTCTCCTTGAACACTGAGCCCAAGGCTCAAGGCTGGGGCTCAGCCCAGTCCCACCCTCAGTACCCCCTCCCCAGGCTCTGCTCACCAGCAAAGCATCTGCAGATGTCCTCATGAGTCACGTAGGCCAAGGTGTGGGGGTTAAGGAGAATGGCCGATGCCCTGTCTATAGTGACAGATGGCAGACCAAGAAATGACCCAGCTCTTTAGCAGAAGTCTGATACTCAAGTCCTGTGAGGAAGCCCTGGGGCTTTTTCCACATGGAAGGGATGAAAAGCCAAGGCTGGAGGGGAGGAACTCTGAGAAGGGAGCCCAAAGCTGGGGCTGGAAGGCCATCCTCCCCTGAGGAACCAAGCCCAGGACACCACAGAACCAACCCAGCTGAACCAGAGGGCCCCTTGCCCACTCCCCCAGAGCAGGGGCCGCTGGGAGGATATCAGCTGTTTTGCACATCCTCAGTGATGTTCCGGATGCTCTGCTGCACCCACACCTTGTGCTGGTCCAGTTCTTGCTCCCGTTGCTGCAGTTCCTCGATCTCCGCCTTGAGTTCAATCAGCTTATCCGCAATCTCCCGGGTATTGCAGCCAGGCCCCACGCCCCTGAGTGCAGGGAGCGGGGCTGAGAGGACAGGCAGGGGACTCTGGGTCCCACGGTCCCCCAGGCTCTCCTGCACAGCTCCCGCCTCCCACACTTTTGGACAGGAGACCCTACTGCTCTCCCAGACGCCCCCCACTCACTTCCACTGGATGCTGTTCTTGGATTTTTTCTCAATCAACCCGATACCTTCCAGTACGTTAGTAATGTCGTAAATCCGCCGCTTCTGGCGCACAGCGAGGGTGTCAGCTGCCTGGCAGACAGAACAGGGTGGCGGATGCTCAGCCCCATTCAAAGGTGCAGCCCCGTCAGCTTTCCACGTACACACAAACTCCCACAGTGCCTGTCGGGTCACAGCAGGCCCCCAGCTCCCTGGAGACATAGTCTAGGAAGGGGGCGGCCTGGGTCCCAACCCTGCATTCAGGCACCACAGCAGCCCAGGACCTAGGGGCGGCAAGAGGTCTGGCGAAGCCCTGAAATGATGCTTAGATGCTCTTCTCCACCAAGTCGGAGGGCCACGAGGGCCTGCACCTGCACCCCCGCGCCTGGCATCTAGTTGGCGCTCATTGCGGTCTCGCAAATGAATGAAACGACTGCCGGCCTCCTTCGTTTGAGAAGGCATATAGATAGCGGCTTGCTCTTTGAGAGCTCGGTGGGGCCGTCCCCGGGGTTCCCGCTCCTGACCCAGGCCTGGTCCACCACCCCCTCCGTCGCCCTCTTAGCCCGAGCCGCACCAGCTTGAGGTCAAGCACGCCGTCCTTGGCCTCCTGCAGAAGCGACACGAACTTGGTGGTGAGAAGTCCCAGACTCTTCTCGTGCCGGCTTGGAGTGCCCGGGGGCGGCGGCGCCTGTGGCCCGGCCTCCGCCATCGCGCCCGCCCGCCGCCTCCCCTCAGCCAGGCCAGGCCAGGCCGGCGCCGCCGCCACTTCCGCTTCCGTTCCGGGTCGCCCGGCCGCCAGCTCCTACATTGCTGCTTCCGCTTCCGCCTTGCGCCCTTTCAGGGAACCCAGCCCAATTTCTATCTGCGGGCACCGCCGCAAAACGGGAGGGACCGTCAGCAAATGTCCAATCGCGATGGAGAAGAAAACAATTCGAGGATCCTAGGCACTGGAGGACCTCGTGAGGAAGGATGTGGAAAAGAGGTCTGGGGGCGCCGGAAACTTACTTGCCAACGGGCTCCAACATCACTAATTCCACCCATAGCCCCATCTCTGGAACGAAACAACAGTGATGAAAGTTCCCCCAAGCTTGCTCTTGGAGGCTGCCCCACCGCGTTAGGGTCATCCACCCTATTTATGTCTCTCACTTCCCGCCAAAAAGGAAGCACTAACGACATCTAGGACTCCTGGTGTGGCGCTCTGGGTTAATGCGCCAGACTGCAAGCAAGCCACTTTGAACTGCTAGGTCGACTTGAAAGCACTTAACAACAACAAACTTGTTTACCAAAGAATCCAAAGTAGATCCTGGCATATAGGGAGGATTGTGTGTTTGCTGTTGTTGTTAAAGTGCCATCGAGTTGGTTCGGATTCATAGCGATCCTGCTTAAGGTATCTAAGAAACCACTGGGGAATTTGAACAGCTGATATTGCAGTTAGCAGTTCAATCTTTATTTAACATTATTATTTTTATTCTTATTTTAGGTCAAGGTCTTTAAGCAACAGATATTGAGGCAGGAATTTGACTTCAAGAAGTTAACTGGGGATCTACACTTACAAGGAAGTAAGACCAGCAGATGTGGGCAGGCGGAGGAGTTAAACTGTGGGGCAGTTCTAATACAGGGGTCATTCCATCCTTACTAGAAGCCCTGAAGCTGAGAGGTCATTCAGAGTTCCAAATGCAGGCCCCAACAGTGACAGAGACCTCATCCCTGACAGCATTACCTGACTGGAACCCCTTCTCTGGCTCCCTACAGCCCTCAAGATAAGACTTCAGCTCTTCAGACAGCATTCATGGCCTTTCAGTCCCCCTCTCACCATCATCCTCTTCATAACAACGGACCCTGCCATTCCATTTCTTATATCTGTGCACACTCAGTTCAACCCAGCAGGGCCTGAGTCCAAGTTGTATTTGTGTCAAGGGCACTAAGAGATAACACAGTGGTCAAGACTTCATGTTCACAGGGAGTACATCCCCTTCCCCAGCCCTCCCCACCCCATCTCAAATTCAGATGCTCTTCCTGTTGGGAATAAAGCACCAGAGACTCAGCTTCCTTCCTTTCTGCTGTGGCCTTGGGGAGGGAGGAGCCTCTAGGGGTGAGAGGCTTCCTTGGGAAGAGGAAGTCTGCTGTGTGCCCAGGAGTGCACTGGAGGCCCTGCAATTGAGTGACTAGCTTCATCCAGCTCCATCACGGGGCCTGGGGAGAGGGCCATTCTCAAGGCCAAGGCTATCTGCGGAGGAGGGAGAACTGGGTGCCTGATCAAGCCTGGTGAGTTCCACACCAAACCGAGCTCTGCAACTCAGAGCAGGTGCAGGGCCCAGCAGAGGCTTGTGCCTTTCTTACTGGGGATACAACTGAGAAATACAAATGGGTGAAGGCCTCCTGGGTACCTGCTCCCCCTCCTCCTGCCTTCCCCTCATTTCCTGAGGGGGCTGGGCACAAACGCCCTTCTCTTCACAGAGGGGCCTAGACAAAGGCTTCAGCTCCAAGGAGCATATGCCCAGGCCCTGGCCCCTACTCCCCCACCTAAGATCCAGTTCCTCCAAGATCTGCCATGGACCCAGCAGCCCAGGATGAAATGGAGCCTGCCCTTCCCCCTGGTAGGAACCCTTCTGGGAGGAATGATGGCAAGGAGGATGGGAATGGTGGGGTTGTTCTAATAAGACAAGCCTGGCTGGAACTCAGTAGAGAAGTGGACGGTGGGGGGCGGGGGGGGCGGCGGGAACAGGAAAAGGGGAGCAGGTTCTGTGATAGTAGCTTCCTGCAGGCCCCACCATACTGACTGACATTGCTGCTGACACCACCAGGCTCTTCCTGCCCTGGGCCTGAGTGGCCGGAACAGGAGAGGGCGGAACAACTGGCCCGGGGTGCTGCACTGAAATGGGCCTCTGGCATCTTCTACCGGCCAGAGCAGCTGGCCAGACTGGGCCAGTACCGAAGCCGCGAGATACAGCGTACCTCCTCCCTGGAAGCACGCATCAAGGTAGACATCGGGCAGGGGTTGGAGTGCCAGGGGTGGGCTGTGGCCAGCCAGGTCTCACTGGATGGCTCCCTCCCACAGTCGGTGGTGCAGTCATACCTGGAAGGTGTGCAGACTGGTGTGTGGCAGCTGGCCCGGGCCCTTGAGGCTATGCAGGGATCTCGGGAGGCCCTAGGCCAGGCCCATAGGTTGCTCCTGGACATGGCTGAGGCCACAAAGACCCTAGAGCCCCTGCGGGAGCAGGTTGTTCAACACAAGCAACTGCAGGTGCTGTCTCAGCTCTTGCCCAGGCTTCGAGCAGGTGAGTGTGCCCAGGCCTCAGCCCTGCATCAGTCAGTCAACTAACATCCCTCAGTAAAGGTGGAGATTGCATAAAGGGCATACCTGGGACCTCCCAGAGAGGAACACAGGCTTCAAATGGCATATGCCAGCATGGGCTGTCTAAGTCAGGACTGACAACCTATCAAGTGACTCTGGACACCCTGTTTGTTAATATATTGAAACACAATTCGCTAACTGGTTGAGTGAATAGTCATTAGCATAGTTCCCTAGTTCTCTCTGACTTGTTTCTGAGACTCCTGGTTCATGTTCCATCAGGTCAAGATTTGACTCTTGGCCTACCAGGCCTCTAGGATCTGCCTGTGTTCTGTCAGAATAGCCAATATTCCTACTTTGTTGTTTTTGTTAAATACCGTTGAATCAGTTTCCTTATAGCAACCCTGTATAAGGTTTCCAAAGAGCAGCTGATGAGTTTGAACCACCGACCTTATGGTCCAAACTGACAGTGCTTTATCCTGCAGCACCATACCAGGACTTCTTACCCTACTTTACTGGCTACCAAGTACCTTAAACATCACTCTAGGGCCAGGGCCTGAGCATCTACCATTGGATCCATTGCACAGGTGGGAAGACTGAGACCCAAGGCTGTCTCCTCTTGTTCTTCCTCAGTACCAGCTGCAGTGGCCCACACACAGACCTTGATTGATGCCCAGCGGCTCATGGAGGCATATGTGAGCCTGCGGGAGTTGGAACAGCTTCAAGAGGATACCTGGGTACCCCTGGGGGGTCGAGAGTTGCCAGTCTTTGAAGGGCTAGGTCCTCTGACTGAGGCCCTAGGCTGGGCTGTGGAGAGAGTTGCAGGGGCTGCAGGGCAGCTGGCACGGGAGGACCCAGCCCTGCTGGTGGCTGCTGTGCGTGTGGCTGAGGTGGAAGCTGGACGCACAAGCTCCCTTGGGCAACCTGCTCGGGGCTGGCGGCAGCGCTTTCTGCAAGCGTTACAGGAAGGTCCAGAGAGGGCCCACTTTGGGGCAGCTCTGCTGCCTGAGCCAGGGGCCCTACCAGAATGGCTGGAAACTCTGCGGCTGGCATTGCCAGCTGAGTTGGCCACAGCAGAGGCTCTGGTAGAGCCCTGCTGCCCACCACACTACAGAGTGGTCCGGCTGTGGGCTCATACCCTGCATGATGGCCTGCGCCGGAGCCTGCAGCAACTCCTCACAGGACCTGAGCTGGGAGCTACTGATGCCTTCACCCTGCTGCACTGGGCACAGCATGTGTACCTGGGGTCAGTGCCCTGGGAACAGGGGGAAGTGGGCAACTTGCCAGCTAGAGAGCTCCATGTGACATGTGCCACCCATCTCCAGGCCGGAAATGATGGGGAACATGGAGTTAGGGCCTGATGCTGATGTGTCCCAGCTAGAGCCCCTGTTGACCCTGGAGAATATTGAGCAGCTTGAGGCAACATTTGTGGCCAAAGTCCAGGTGAGTGGTCATGGTACAGGTGCAGAGCCGCTCTGCCCATCTGCTGCAGAATGGTACACAGGCCTCTCTCATTTGTCACCTATTTGGGTTTGGTGGGGTCAGTGCCCTGCTACATTCTGCTGCCCCTTGCCCATTCCCTCAGGCAAATGTGACCCAGTGGCTGCAGAAGACACTGGATGGGGAGGTAGCTGAGTGGGGTCTGGAAAAAGAGCCAGATACAGACCCATCTGGCTTTTACCACTCCCCAATGCCAGCCATTGTCCTGCAGGTAGGTGAGAAGTAACCTGGCAGATGGGCAGCCCCTGCTGGGGAGAGGGGAGTGGGCAGGGCTAGGGTTCTGCTGATGACTGCCCATCCCTGCCTGCAGATCCTAGATGAGAACATCCGTGTGACCAGCCTGGTCAGCGAGTCACTGCAGCGACGGGTGCATGGCATGGCACTGTCAGAACTGGGCACGTTCTTGAGGAGGTCCGCCCAGGCATTTACCCACTCTCAACCCCCAGCCCTACTCCCAGGTCACCCAAAGGGACTCTGAGTGACTAAAGACACAGCAGCGGGGAAGGCTCCTTCAGACTGGGCCTTGGTGTTTTGGAGGTGGGGCTGGCTGATCATGTACTAAGGTTGTGGGAGGAATCAAATGGTTACGCACTCAACTACTAGTCAAAAGATTGGCAGTTGAAACCCACTCAGAGGCACCTTGGAAGACAGGGCTGGCAACCTGCTTCTGAAAGGTGGTAGTCTTGAAAACCCTATGGTGCAGTTCTGTTCTGCACACATGGGGTCACCATGAGTCAGCATTAACTGGCAACTAATGCCAACAAAAGAATTGTGGGAGTGCCACAGTGACAACTGCGTCACCTCTATCCACTGCAGCTTCAGTGATTCTCTGATCAGATTCTCCCGAGACCACCTCAGGGGCGAAGCAATAGCCCCTCATTACGTGCCCTACCTACTGGCTACACTCAACCACCATACAGCACTGAGGTATGAGACTCACAAAGACCACACACCTTCACTAACCCTGAGCACCTGTTACATATGTAACTAGTATGACCCTGAGAAAGAGTCCTAGTGGTTCAGTGGGTTAAGCATTGATTGAGCTGCTGACTGAAAGGTTAGTGGCTAGAACCCACTAACCACTCCGAGGGAGAAAAACGTAAAGACAATCTGCTTCCATAAATATTTATAGTCTCAAAAACCCTGTGCATCCACTCTGCTCTGCCCTACGTGGTTGTTCTTAAGTGTCACCGAGTCGATTCTAACTCATAGCGATCTTGTATAGCGTTCCCAAGGAGTGGCTGGTGATTTTGAATCATTGACCTTGCAGTTCAAACCGACCTTTCAGTTGAGTGCTTATCCTATGGTGCCACACCAGGACTTCATTCTGTCCTATAGGGTTGCTGAATCATAATAACTGTGGGGAGAAGTGGGAATGACTTTGGGTATGTCACCTAATCTGTCTGAATCTCAGTGTTCTCAATAGTATTACATGAGTAATCATGGGATGGATGTTCTAAGAATCACACGAGATAAAATATATAAAGTTCCTACCATAGTGCCTGCCACAAATTAGTGCTCATTCATTTGTTCAACACATATTTATATGTTGGGTTACAGCTGTGAACAAAACAGACAAGTTCCCTTCCTCTTGGGTCTTATGTTCTAAGGGAGGGAGAGAAGACTGGGGAGGACAAACAAGTTAACTATTTTTCTCACTCTTGACCAGCCCTGGTAGCACTGTAGGATATGTACTGGACTGCTAACCATAAGGTCCTCAGTTAAAACCCACCAGCCGCTCTTCTGGAGAAAGCTGAGGCTTTCTGCTCCCGTCAAGATTTACAGCCTCGGAAACCCTATGCAGGGTCGCCATGAGTTGGAACCAGAACCGACTCCACGGCACATAACAACAACATGAGTAGGAATCTACTCGATGGTGTTGGGGGGGGGAAGACTGGTATTAACTCCTTACCCTTAAGGTGAGCAAGCAGGAACCTAAAGGCATGACGTGCTCAAGGACGCACCGCAAATTAAAGGCAGATAACCCTGTAACTCCACCCCCTCCAACCCCACCACTCCTTCTCTGACCTTTAAAAAATGCATCCTCTGTTGCCACACACAAGCACCTCTAGGGGGCGTGCGGGTAGCTGGACCATAGAGTGCCTTATGGGCCTTGGCCTTGGTCCTGAAGCCACACTTTTGGTCCCTATTAATAGGTCATCCATGTCGGTCCTGCAGCTCGACGGGGTGACTTCAGTGGCCTTGACGCGGGTGGAAGTCGCGTTAGACGAGTTGCAGAGGAGAATCTGCCGCCTGGTGCTGGAGGCACTGCTGGCGGAACTCCAAGTGAGACTTGGGGGGGGAGGGAGGGACAGTGTATGTGGGGGGGCCTCTGCCAGGATGCTGGTCAAGATCATTCCCCTAGTGCCATTTCCGTCCTCCCTTAGCCTCTGTTCGCGACTCTGCCCTCGCGCCAGTGGCTGTCGAGCCCAGAGCTGCTGGACCGTGTGTGCGAGCGGACGGCTAGCTTATGCCGAGACTTCTGGCGCGTGCGGAGCCCCGCGGTCCAGGTGCGCTGGGAGGGAGGGCAGGGAGAGGCGCTGATGGGAAAGGCGACCCTTACTCCTCTGACCGCCCTCCATGCAGCTGCTGCTGGCAGAGGCGGAACGCACCGTGGTGCTGCAGTACCTGCGTGCGCTGATGCAGGGCCGCTTAGTATGCCGCAGTATCGACGAGCGGACCCAGGCCGCCGAGCGTCTGCGACATGATGCCACCCAGCTCCGGGAGCTCTTCCTAGGTTTGGTAAGAGCTAGGCGAAGGAACAGATGGGCGGGGTCACAAAGGTAGGGTAGTGGTCGAGGGCTGGCCCGAGAGACCCTACCTTGTCAACAGGGTCTGGAGGAGAGCGCGCAGTGCGCTCCAGTGCTGCTTTCCCTGAGAGAGTTGCTAAACCTCCGCGACCCCACGTTGCTTGGCCTCGAGGTGGCCAGCTTGCGGCAACAGTTTCCCGACGTGAGGTGAGGAGGCCCCAGGCCGGGGAGGTAGGAGGAGCCTGGGAGGGACAGGACGGGGCTGATGTGTCTGCGTGGTGCCCTGCAGCGAGGAACACGTCTCCGCCCTCCTTGACTTGCGCGGGGATGTGTCAAGAGAGCATCGCCTGGCAGCACTCAGCTCGCTGCAGGCCGGCCCACCGCCCTCTCCCCCAGCTGGCCGCCGCGCACTCTTCAGTCTCGTACCTGCGCCCACGCCGGCGCCGTCCTCCTGCCTTCCCTCGGGGCCCTGTGCCTGACATATGACTGTCCGCAGAATAAACTCATGCCCCCCTCGTGCCTGAATCTGTGTGTTGGGAAAGTTAGTGCCGCCGAGTTGCTTCCGACTCTTAGTGACCCAGTATGTGGTTTCCAAGAAGCGGCTGGTGTATTTGAACCGCCCACCTTCGCTTAGCTTACAGCGCCACACCAGTGCTCCAAATCTTACGGGATCTGAAAGCCTCAACTTTTTCCCACCGAGCGACTGGCGGGCTCGATTCCAGGACCTTATGGTTCTCAGTCCAATGTTTATTGTATGGAGTCACCGTGCTCCCCGTTGGGTGATGGAAGGGGTGAAATAAGTGTCCACAATAGCTAGGGACATGCACAGTATGAGTATAGTAGGTTATCCTCGCGCTCTCCCGGATATATAGACCACACCCACCAGCCTTAGCCTTAACGCAAGTCCCGCACGCCCCTACTTATCCTTGCTGAGCAGGGGTAATGATTGTAGACTGCCGCCCCCATTCCAGCTGCCGGGTTGACCTCGAAGACCTGAAACCCGCCTGTAATCTCGCGGAGGGTCTACGGCGAGTCGCTGCCCAGGGACGTGACTTGGCAAATGACACCGCCCCTTTTGCTCTGATTGATCCCGCCCCCGGCAGTGGTCTTTTTTTGAGCGCACGCTACCACTAAGACTGACGCGAACCCGCGCGCCATCCAGTGAGCGTGCGCGCGCCCGAGTGGTGCGTCATCTGTGTCGGCTCCGGTGGGCTAGGCGGCAGGTGACAGGCGCTGCAGAACAGGAACAGAGACGAATAAAGAAGAGAACAGGTTGGAATGCGGCACGCGGACGGGACCCCCGAGAGGCCAAGAGGGCGCGGGATGGGACATCCCCTATCTAATAAAGAACCCCTTTCCATTGTCTTCCAGCCCCGCCCTCCATTGGGCACGCCCTTCATCCCATCCCCCACCGCTTATTGGCTGCAGGTCACGCCCCTCCTCTATCTCCCCGTCCTCATTGGCTCTTTTCCACGTTATCTTCGGTCGCTTATTAGCGCAGGACACGCCCTCTCATTTGTCACTGGACCCCCCCATCAGTAGTCAACTGCTCCTCCTCCATCCTTCCATTCATTTATTTGCATCTAGTGCTAGATGCTTGGGACAAGAGGCAGATTGAAACCTATCACTGCCCTCAAGGAATTCAAGGGATGGTGGAGGGACCCATCCCACAATGACAGCCTAGGGCTTCTCGGAAGAGGCGAGACCAGAACCGAGCCCTGAAGAATGGTTAGGAGTTTGCTTTAGGGAGACATTGAGGGGAAGGACATTGGTGGAACGACCTGAGACATGAAAGGAACAGGTGTATTCTGGTAATTGCAAATAGGTAGGTTAAACAAAAGAAGGGGCTACAGAACAGGCCCAGCTACAGATCCAGAGACCAGTTGTTGTTGTTAGGTGCCATCGAGTCGGTACCGACTCATAGCGACCTCATGCAGAGCAGAACGAAACACTGCCCTATCCTGGGCCAACCTCACTACTGCAGCAAAGCTTAAGTCCATCGATGCTGCCACTTGGCCAATCCATCTTTTTCTCTGACTCTCCACCTTGCCAAACATGATATCCTTCTCCAGCGACTGGCCCCTCCTGACAATATGTCCGAAGTATGAGAGATGAAGTTTGGCC